GCTATTTGTTTTTGGCGAGAACAAGTTTTTTATTGATAATCTCCATGCACATTCTTCATCATTCAATTGAAAAGTTTTACTTTATGGAACCTCAACAGTGCAACTATAATGACTACAATGAAAGTTAAAACAAGACTGCTTGTATCAAGGCAAAGCCTTGAAAGTTCCGACTGCTTTTTAGGCTCTATGAATAGTGTGCTGGGTTTTAATAAGCTGAGAAAATCTTTTAAAAAAATTATTTGATTTTCTGAGATAATTTTTGTTTTGAAAAACAAAAATTCTGAGATAGCTTGTTGTTTGACAACATTTTGGCCTCTCCGTAAGTTAACCGTAATTATTTGAAGTTATCTCAGATATCACAGCCTTATTTCCGCATTTAGTAAAGTAAAAATGGACCAAATGGCAAGCCTCAAATCAATTTGGAACAATTTTTACGACGGGTAAAATTTCCGCCTTAATAGCACCAAATATATCGTGAGTTATGTTTACCGAATTAGCCAAACTGGCAATATTTAAACCCCGATATTTTTACAAAAATTGTGCATTGATCAAATATCGCTTTAAATTCTAGCTAAAAACAACAATACCTTTCGTGTGGTATAAAAATTTTGTCAAAAATTGCTACTGAAAAAGTTGAGAACAAAATCACAAGAGCACAAATTTTCTGTCACTTTCGTCGAAAGTCGGGACAAAAGTGATTCCTGCATACAATTTTTCGCACGGTGATCTAAACTATCTGTTGCTCCAGATTTGACCTGATTAAACAATTCTCGAGTGAGGTGACGGTTACTTGTAACAATTTAAGGTCCTAAAATGAATTTTTGGCTGATCGATAATTCAACAATTGAGCCATTGCACACTGCTATATAAACAATTTTCAAAAAAATTAATGGGCTCTGAAAGATATTTTTAAATCTTGTTTTGGAGGATAAAAATATCATTTGAAATGAATAATGATAGAATATTCTTCTGAGATGCAAATTAAATGAAAAAACGACAATATCATGACCATAATATTCAAAACTAAATAAAACCCAAACTGATTTACATAAAACAATCAAATATTTCGTATTATTTATTTATCTTAGAATTACATTATTGAGCTGAAAAGTAAAGCGGCAAAAAAAACAGAATAGCAGTTGCGGAAACTGTTAAAAAAGCAGAAAAAACCTAATTGTTAAAGAAGACAATAAAAACTAATTATTACGTAGATAATTCAAATAGTTTGTTCAATTAGTCAAACAGTTTGATGATACTCATATTAAACACTACTCCACATTAAACAAAGGGAAAAACTAGCAAAATATTTCAAATTAACAATCAATTTAGAAACCGTAAGCCCAGTGATTGATTTAAAGGTCTTTAAGAAGTGAAAAAAATTTGAAAAACAAAATCAGCGGTTTGTATAGTTTATGATAATATCTAATTATGATAACAACTCCTGCCGTATGTTTTGATCCTGTCAGGCTGTTCTATGGTTGCGTTGTATAGAGCAGTACTTTCCTCTCGCTTTGCAAAATTCATACATCGTGTGTGTGTTTCTTAGTTTTTGTTTCTATTGTGTTCGATTTTTTTTGTGATTGGAGCGGCATTTATAAGATGAAAAAACCATAATTTTTATGGTTTATTAAATAGCGTAATTAATTTCTCTAATTTTTTTTTGCTTTTGAGTCGTTACTTGACAAGCTAAGCACCTTTGCTGTTCTCCTAGTGTATATATTTGCAAATACTTGGAACCTAATTTATTAGCACTTTTACCTAACAGCTGGATAAATTAGAACAACCACAAGCGTAAGTAGAATTATATTGTTGTAAGTTGAGCGTGGGTCTGGAACCACAGTTTTTGTTTGTGTTGAAGTACTCGTTTTTTTTGCTCTTTTATTAAACTGTAAGTGTTTTTGGCTAAAACTTATGTGGTTTGTTTTCCCTCAGTATCAATTTAAGTACTTAGAAACTTTTTTTGGCAATTTTGGATAGTTTTTTATGACGTTTCCGGATAAAAGTATGAATAACTGTTTCTCTCTCAATAAAGTTGAGGTTAGTTTGGCAAAATTGGAATCATTGATATCAAAGTATTTTTCAATTATCAATTTTAGTTGGTAATTTGTCTTTTGTTTTTCGGAGCATTCTGATGGAAATACACCACTTCATTTTGCCACATGTTTTCAGTTTTGGAGTTATCAAAAAAAAAATCAGTAACATAAGTTATTGTTGAAAAATCATTATATTTTACATTATCAGTCAGCTCCTACAGCATTGCCGACATACAAGGGGAACCCAACTTCATCAAATAAAGAGTGTGAGTCTTTGTTGACTTTCAAGGTTAGTTAATTAGCAGATAGTACATGGAACGAGGTAAACAATCTCCCCCTAGTCAATTTAGGAAGGAAAATATTCACTTAGTTGAAATCGATCTTTTTCAACCAATCAGATTTCGGCTTTTGTCACGCATCTTCCTATATTCCTTAATGCATTATGTTCATCTGACAGATTTATGTTCCATTTTTTAATAAAAGTGACGGAGTTTATGTGCTCGGTGTGATACTTGTTCCAATTTTCGACGAAAATGAAGCATATATATGCTCGGGGTGTTTTTTCTTAATTCAGACCAATCTTCAAAAGATTTTTTTCTGTCAAGGTATTGCTCCGTTGATCTTCGTGGGCTCCGCCTAGTTCAAACACTGATATAATAAACTGACACTAGTCTAGCTAAACTGTTCTTTTTATATTTTGAAGCGGGAAGTACAATTTTTTGCGTGGTGAATTATCTCGCACTATAAATTTTGTTCAAAACTGAATTGAGGCAATCTAAATGCTCTTATTATTACCACACACGACTCAAATTTTTATTCTTACAAATTGATGATTACAGCCGAAGTTCAGGGTTTGTCAATATTTCATTAACTAAAAACTTCGAGACCAGTTAATGGGCAGTCGTAACTTTCAGAGTTTTGTCCTGATACGAGCAATTTTTTTGTGATCAATTTCCTTACACTGAGTAGCAGTTTTTGAATAGAAAATTGTTATAGCCAATTCTAATATTGTAACTTCTTAAGCTCAAAATTGAAAAGTTGCATCACTTTTCATCATTTTTTGTACAATTATGGAGCTTTGAAAATTGCCAATTTGTCCAATTTGTAACAACTAACGCGCGTTTTGTTACGAACAATTGATGCATAAGCGGTGATTGCAACATAGACGCGAGTAGCCAAGAAGCAAAAAAGAACAAATAAAAGAGAGAAGCCTATTTGATAGTGGATAGCCAAGACCTTTTATTGGAAATTTTAACACCAAAATTCCATCTTTTTAAATCAATCAAATGATCCGAGTTCTCTTAAAATACTTGTGTGATCCAATCCTCCATGATACCTCCACAAAGTACATGAAAAAAACAAAAGCATCTTCAGTTCGATTATGAACTCGTCCGATCTTAATTTTTTTTCTTCTGTAACATGCAAAAAGTTAGCTTGAAGTATCGTATGATTTTTTCCGGAATTCAGGAACATACAGACACAAAATTGTGCGCCTATCCAGTGCACAGTTTGGCCTCGTAATGCTGTAATTCTTGCACAGTCACCGTCCGCAATGAGGTTTAATGGATAATAATCAATTTTAAAAGATTTTCAATGTCTGTATTCATTTTAAAAAATCTTTAAAAACTAATCAAATTAATTGGATTAAAAGTTGATTGTAATCCAAACAAGATGATAATTTAAGCCAATAAAATGTGTTTGAATGGTTTAGATTGGTTTATAACGGGTTACAGATTATTATAATGAATTTTATTAGATTATAATAAACTATAATGAACCTTAATTTGTTTTACGTAAGAGCTCAGATTTTCAAAAAATTTCCGCGTAGCTTCACAAGTTGAAAATTGCAATTGTTAAATTGAGATTAACTTCTGGCTTTTAAATTGTGCTTTATTTTTTTCGTATTTTTTTTCATTTTTTTCTCATTATTTTCCTATTAAAGGTATCACTGCCTCTCGACCACTTACTCCACACTTAAGGCTACCACTATCTATGAGAAATAGATAACTGGAGGATTTATGGAATGAGAGGGGGAGTGGGGGAAGATGTTTAGTGTTTAGCCAAACGTTTTTTCGGCCTGTTTTTTTTTCATGGTTTGGATTTTTAGAAAAAGTTAGTAGGCTGCGAGAGAAATAGAAAAAATTCTATTCTTCGGAAAATCATTATAATCTATTGTTATACATGAAACCTCACTGCCGGCTGTTACATTTTTCTCATGTGAAACTTAAAAAATATGTTTTCGTTTTTTTCCCGTTTTTTGAAGGAAGTGACCGAGTTTTTTGCTTGGGATGTTTTTATTGTGTCAAAATTTGACTTTTTAAGTGAGCGTTTTTGAAATAGATTTTTGGCGTAGTCTTAAAGTTTTGTTGTGTTGCGCTCAAATAAAATCAGTGAACACTTGTGAACTTTTTTTTGCAAAATTATTACAGTTGTTTGAAAAAAGCTAATTTTTGTCAGTTTTACAAAACCGTCGGAAAATTCAGGGTTTTGCCTTCATACAGGGGCGGATGTAGATTTTTCTGGAGGGGAATTTCAAATTTTTTTCAGAATTTCTGTCGACCTTTTTTTTAGGGCGACCAAATTGATTTTTTGAGCTTTCACAAATCACTAAAAAGACCTTGTTTTGGCCAATTTTTTTTGCGCTGCGGGCAAATTATTGAAAAAGCACGCCAAAAAAAGACAATTTTAGGCACTTTTTGGACAGTTTTGACCAAAAAATCTCCGTTAAACCCTTCTAAATCCGCTACTGCCTTAATATATGAGCAGTCTGGTTCAATTTCATAATAAGACTAGGTAATTTGACGATTTAGTCTGTAAACATGTTTGATGAAATATGCTGAGAAACATTCTTTTCAACTTTCAAAATAGACAACTTTTTCAAGTAAAGTAACACATGGCATCAATGGTAACTGATGTCATTTTAAGTACAATGAGCGCATTAAAAAAGTTGTTTTTCGCATTCTCTTTTTCGCTATCTCTTTTTCACTTAGTGGTTTGTTATCATGAATTAACTTGGTTGAACGTTCATTTATAAATCCCAAATACCTCCTGATTCAAGTCTAGTAAAGTTGAAATGATCAACGCAGCCTTTATGGTTAGTAATTTTTATTTTTTTTCAAGATTTTATAATGTTAGCAAACCTTTAGAAATGAAATATTGATAATATACAGCAGATCTCAAGTGGCTCAGTTTTTCAATTATTCGTGAAATTCACGGTGACGTGGGTAGTGAAATCTATGCATTGTTTTGTAGAGAAGTATTTTTTGAAACCTTTAAAAGGTCTAGAACAGGGGTTAGATTAAAACTCGATTGTTTGATTTGTATTCAGACGCTCCTTTCTAATAATCTCTGAAATCTGGAAATTTTGCTTTGAACTGGGAGTCACGTGACGTGACTTTACTTACTTGGTCGTAACTCGTTTGTTCTTTTTTTTTACTAAACTGGAAGAAATACCAGGTTATAATCCTTAATCTAAATCCCTTCACTAGTAAAAGAATTAACCTTTGCGGTATTGTTTTGGTTCTTGTTCCAAAAGTACTCTAAGCAAAACCAGATGCCACTCAAATCTGCCAAGATTGGTTTCGAGACAATTTTAATTAACATTTTTTTGAGTTCGCAAAATTCCATCTATGTCAGAAGAATCTTGTAACTTGAGATCATTTATGCTGTTTCTTCCAGCCTCACAAAACTAGCTAATATTTGAGTAAACTTTCAGTTACTCTCTAATTAAATCGCAAAAATAATTGACTTTTGTCTGAAAAGTTTTGTTTTTCATGTTTTTTATTATTCGTTGAAAAATAAACATTTATTTCAAGTTGCTATTTTTTTCATTGCAAATTATTACTTTTTTTTTTCATTTTTTTCAAACGAGTCATATTTTTTCAAAATAATTTGCATTCTAGTATTTTTGCAGCCTTTTTTGTGGCCATCGATTTTGCAGGCTTGAATGTTTTTATGTCAAAGCCCTCCTCCTTTCAAATCTCACCTTTGATTGCTTCTGAAATTCAATTAACGAAAGTCTATTTAAGATGACTTTTGATATTCCAAACTGCGTAAAAAGACGTGTAAGCGTGAACAAGTGAACAAGTTTTTCAACATTTCCAATGCAAATTGCCTTATGAACCACTTTCAGCCAATTTTTTCGCAGTAGGGAAAATAGAAAAGAGCCGACCCGCTTCGCATGGTAATTAATAATGAAATTTGGCAAAAAAAATCTACGACCTGAAAAAAGTTTGTTCATCAAATGAGCTCGCCTTCAAGATTGAACAGAAATCAAATTAGCGAAGTCTGTTGCCATTTACTTTTGATGGCAATAGGGGCTAAATTTAAAAACTGAGATCCCAGAACGCAGTTGAAAATTCAAATGAGGTATTTTTTATCTGAAAACAAGCAATCATCATACTTACTAGATATCTAGGTTATTAAAGCGGTTAACAAAGCTACTTGAAAAGCTACAAAGGTTAACAAAGCTACTTGAAAACTTAAGAAGGTTCCCTTTGGATGAAAACATTTAAAAGCAAACAATGGTTCTTAGATCAGATCCATAATCGGCCAAATAAATTTTAAATTGATAATTTTGCACGTGTTTTAGGCTATTCGTATTTGTGTATGGTGCTTAAATTTCATTTTCGACGAAACTTAGCCTCCATTCTAATATTTCAAAACGTACCAACTTGAGTCGTTCAAATTTATTTTTTTGACAGCGCAGACCGTTAATCCTTTCAAACAAGTCTTTTACAACCTTGGGCTGATTTAAGTCAGTTTCGTGGATTTACAAGCCATACTACCCTTCAATTTTACTTCAAAGTACCTTATTGGACCTTTATTTTTAGCTAAATTTAATACTACCGTGCTTAAGATGTTTTGCCTAGCGGTGTTTATTTTCACTAGTGTATGTCGCCGTTAGAGGGCTGATCTAAAGATCTAGTTTTAGTTTATGACTTAGATCGCCGCCGGGTTTTTAATCTGGCTCTTGTTTACTTGCTCTAGTCAAAATTGCTTTTTTACAAGATAAAAAAAATTATTAAAACTGGCCGGGCTGATACCACTTTTGTCTCTGCTTTAGGCAATCTCTTTCTTAGAAACCTTTGTAAATTTCTACCTACGCAAAATGGGAAACATTAATCATCGTTTTTGACAACGTCAAAATTTCCTGGAAACCCTGATAAAAACATTGACGGGTAATCTGTTTAGTACTGAACTAATTCTTATCACGCAGCTTCGAATTTTTCATTCATGCCTGGGTGATAAATTATTCCCTTTTGAGAAACAACAATTTACATCTTGCTTCTTTTTTTTATCCATTAGGCCGATTTGGGAGTCGTTACAAAAACAATAGTTGTTCATTTTCATTAAAATAGAAGCAAAAGCACCATTTAAATTGATTGGATTTTTCAGACGAATAGAATTGTTATTGAGTTTTACTTCAACGAGCAACTGTGACATTTACTTTCATTGAATTGAAATGCATCAATCGAAACCAGAGAACAAATAAACAGGTAAATTAAACTTCATTCCCAATTATAAAATCAGAAAATGGTAGCGTTAGATATCAAAAATAAACAAAATGTAGTATCTTAAGATAATTATAAAACTTTCCGTTGCAAAAGAAAGCAAGTACTCGGCTTCAATTTATTTCTTTGAATTATTTTTCAAATTGTATAAAAATTTTTGTGTTTCGATATTCCCATGTTGACCAAAAATACTAATCAAACAATTTTCGTACATGGAAAAATACTCGTCATAAATGTTTCATTCAATTCCATACGTACATAAAAATGCATGAAAGGTCTATGACTATTGATTTTTTATATATGGATATTGTATGACTAGCATTTTTCCATAAACCAAAAAATTGGCTTTCTTTTAAATTTTTTTTCTCAAAACTTTTGGGTTGTATTCGTAACCGCATTTAAATGGAAAAGACCTTGGTTAGTCAAAAGTAGATGCATCAAAAAGTTGTCCGACACGCAATTACAAGGTATCAGAATCGGCCTGAATAGTCTAAGTTTGGTCTTCAACAAAATATTTAATGAAAGTATCAAACTCATTTAAATTTTGGCGAAAGTTTTCGAAGGTTGTTTTTTTTTAATTCGCATTTTTAATTAATCATGCCTTTACTGAAGCATGCAAAACATGCCAAGCAAAAAAATAGGCGCTTTAAACGTTTTTGAAAAAATATCCTGAGAAATGGAAAAAAAATGTCAACTTTGTGTATCCATGTTTTACATGAGAATAAAATACGTTTTGCGAATAAAAAGTTTTTTTGGACAACTTATATACTACTTAGAAAAATGTATGCTTTCTTCATCAAAAACTTTTAGTCATAGATTTTTCAGATATCAAAATTGTATGATTAACATTTTTTTTGAAAAGTTTTTCTCTATTATTTATGACAATACATCAAATTTTGAGCCAAAACGAGAGAACATTCTTTGAAATTGAGATGACTTCATACTAGATAAACACATGAGATTTGTATGACTATCTTTTTTTATAGAATTAGTTTCTAGAAACATATGATTAGCATTTTGGTCTATGGAGGTCATACCGAGTTTAATTAAATGAAATCATTTTCAATAAAATTAGAATAAAGCGCCGTATAGCTGAAAAATTAGTGAGTCCCAATTCTTTGTTTCAGCATCTGTTCCAGCGATACTAAAGACAGGGGAAAAATTCAACAAAAAAAAAACAAATTTTCGAATTCAGGCTTTCATAATCTAACATTTATCAGACAAATGTCTTACGTTTTAAGCAACTTGGAAAACGGGCATTTGAACAGACTCTCATGATTTTGAATGTTTCTGGGCACAATGCAAAATAACATATTTTATTGCAATAGTCGAAAGTGAACAGAAACGAATTTCATCAACTATGATCAACAAAAAAGCCAAGAACTGAAACTAGATATACTTATGTACAAAATCTAGAACCCGAAGTTTTCTTAGTTTAAGGATAACTTTCAGTTAAAAACAGCCCAAAAAATTGTGATGAAATGCATTAATTCTACAATTTATCAGTCTATCAGTGCGCGCTACAGAGGCGCGAGAACCGGTGCCCCTTTTACTACCGGACTGATTCATCTGCGGGTTGCAGATCTTATTACGGCGGACTGGGCTAGGGCGTCGCTACCACGCGCTAACGGGTAAAGTCCTGTTGGATTATTGTCCTCAATCATTCAAACGAGGTTTCCAGTTTTCAAGTATGACTCTGGAGAAAGAAAATCTTTTCACTCAAGTGATAAGCGTTGGTACGTTCTCACGGGGCCAACTCGACTAGATGACTTTTGCTTAGGATTGCGCTCAGTCGTAGTGCTTTGCTTTCAGTAATTGCATTTTTGCTCGAAGTATAGAGGCGTGAAACTTCTTGCGTGGTGTGCAAACAGGAAATGGTTCAGAATTCACGCTTCAAGTTTGTCTTAATGTGAGCTGACGGTTGTTTAAAGACTGGCCAATTAAACAAAACTAGGTTATGAAAAGTTTCTCAGTGTTTTCTCGTTTTCCGAGAATGTTAGAAAAATCTTTTGGTGCTGCGGATGAGCCTTTCTTAAATAGCTACAGGATCAAGGGCACTAAGTGGATAATTTTTTCTGATAAAATTTTTTGGTGCGAGCAAAACAGATTAAAATTAAATCCAGTTCTGGGCCGAGCCAACGAAGTGCGTACCTTCGGCGGACCAAATGACGGACGGATTTCCTTGCCCAGCAATGAAACGTTCTGTGCCCGTTAAAGAAAAGTTTGTATCCGTTGACGGAGCAACATCTGTATAAAAACCATATGTCGTAATGTTCGTGGAAAAGCAGCCACAATGCTTTGCTGAGCTTCGTCGAATTTTTGCGAAGAATGCACTGAATTAAAATATTCTGCATTTAGCGGATGGCGGTTGTCAGTAAATTAGTCACTTGAGTGGAAAATCAGAAATCATAGGCGTAATAATTTAGGCTTTTTGTTTTCATATTAACACGCAGTGATTTTTATTGAAAAAGGGCGGTACCGATCCGACCTTACCAAATAATCTCTTTGCATAAAAGCATGCAGATAATCAACAATTTGCTAAATTTTACGATAGATAATTGTCAGTTGCATCATTACGAGTAGATGATGGCTATTTAATTTGATAAGATGCCTGCGGTTGAAATCAATGCCGACGAGAGAGACAATTACGACCGGTGGACCCAACTAGACAGCATTAACAGCTTTAAAAAAATTTTTGAGGCAGATTTTCTAAAGGACTATGAATTGTGAGTTTTGACGGGGAGAGACTGTGACCGAGTCAGAACCAATAGTTTTTGCTTGACTAGTTCTAATTCAGAAGAATCAGTTTTTGAACCATTTTTGCTTTAAGGCGGCGAACTAAAGTTTTTCCGGACAAGAACTGGATCGTTGGTTTAAGATGTGTCAGTGAATTTTGCAGTTTGATCAAGTTTTTCATTCAGTTTAGTAGAAGGTCATTTGAGAAGGAAGCTGATAAAAACTGCTGAGCCAGGCTTGAAAGGCTAATGCTTAGTTTTCAAAAAGTCAGGACCTTTCAACCAATCGCCTTTTTGCGATGCTTAAGCAGTTCTTCCGCGTATGCCGGTATTTGCTGATTTTTGCCACTGATCTCATGAAACCAATCATAAATTGCAGGGGCTTAGAAAATCTCCAAAAACCGATTAGCCACAGGCAGTTTATTGCTAAAAGTCAACCATCGTAGTACAGTGGTGCTTTTTTTCAACAATTTTGTTCTTTCGGCTTCGATTGTTAATTATTTCTCGATTTCCAGTCTGAGATGGCTTGTCACTAATGATACTTGCAAGCCATGGAAACCAAAAGTTTTTCATTGCGGCAAACCTAATTTTTCCGAACAAAAAAAGACGGAGCGACCGTTCAGGAAAAAAACTTGAGCAAAAGGCACCCTAATACCTGTCATCATCGAACATATGCAATTCAATTTGATCAACCGGGGTGTCACAGAAACAGCGAAGAAATGTTAAACGGTCAAGTATTGGTAAACCGGAGTGCTATTCTATGAAATTTTTTTGAAGCCCGACTGAACAACGCTTATCACTTTTGTGGCGAGAAAAACGCCAGATACTTTTCTCGCAATGCCGGGTACGAACGTTGTACCGTGCGAAAAACTAATTGGGTCAAAGCCCGACGAGACTTATTTTAATACGGTGCGCTGCGTGACCGGTTTTGTTAGATGTTTGTTCACGCCACGAGTAGTGTTTAAGTTATAAATTTTGTTGTCCCACTTTAGAACTAACACATGCGTTGCTGCATCAACATTTAATTTGAACTGTCTACAGCATCATTTTTGCCGTTCTTTGGTTTTAATTTTTTTTTTGGCAAATTTGCGACCTTGCTGACAAAATTAGTTAATCCAAAGCTTTCTAAATTTAACAAACCAAGACTTTGCTCAATTTTAACGATTAGTTTGGATGAGCGATGGAACCTAGAAAAATTCGCTGTCATCACTCAAACTGGTGGAGTCAAAAGTGCTTAAAAAATGGCCAAACCAAACGTTTAAAGAGTTTAAACGGTATTTTGAGACCGTTTCATTTCTTGTAACAAATTTTTACGGTTGGTGTTAATCATCTCCGCGAGCTTCTCGCCGATTATATTTTTTCGTTAATAATTGGCGGATAAGGCGGCTTGTTTTAACGATTATGATTGTTGGCGCTGACTATTAAAAATTTATAAACTCATCTTCGGGTCAGAAAAATGGTTGAGCAGCGTAATAGTGTACTCATACTCCGACTCGCAGAAGATGATTCCACTTCCGATTAAGATAAAATTTGATATTCGAAAGTTGAGTTTGGGACAACTCCTATACCGCCTCTAATCGACGGTTGAGATAAAGTTGGAAACTGCCTAGTTTGCGTAGTTTGACGCGAGCCAATGGGCTTCACTATAGCCTTAATAGATGTTAGCGTAACGTGTGGAAAAGGTTGAATGTCATTTTGGAACATGTTTTTCTCGATGTTACAGGGAAACGGATTTGCGATAACGATAAAAAGTTCACATCAAAAAGACAAGTCGAGACCAAAATCGTCGGTTGGAAAGAAGAATTAACAACCGGGTGACACGGAATGAATCGAAACAAGCAGCACTCGGTGACGGTTTGGTTTTTTGCAGACTGATTTTCTTCGGTAGTTTTGTTCATCCATCTTTCTTTCCATCGACTTCCGGCTACTATTTTCTAGCAACTCAAAACAATTTTCGCTAAGCGGAAGGGAAAAACTGTAATTTCATCCGACCTATTAACGTAAAAATAACAAAAAGAAGATGTTAGCAACTCAAAAAATTTTACTTCAATTAACTTATAAGCTCGTTTAAAACTTATAAGTTTGTTTAAGAAGCGTTTTTATAGATAAACAGCATCTTTACAATCTATTTTTTGATTTCTGGGGTTCAGATATTTTAGCATAAAAGAGAGAGCTTGCTCCTAAGATGAAACTTTTTTAGATCTGAGAACGCTAAAAAAAATTAGTTTATGATCAAAAAAGAATTCTAAAAAAATTAAAACAAAGTCTACGGGTACGCCTTTGTATACTGTAATAATCACTAAGCAATTACAAACTTACTTGGTGCGTCTACGGAGTGACAATAAACGGCCCGGAACTTAAGCAACCATGTTGTTGTATTGACCTTAAAATAGACAATCCATAGGAGTAATTTTTGAGGTCAGAAAACAATTCAAACCAACACACAGAACTACCAATAAAACGGGCAGCGACGATGGGAGAACTTTCTCATGATCGATATGCGACGTTTCTATAACGGAATGGTTCGAAAAATTCAGCCGAGTTAAGTTAGCTGTTATAAGTTTCAAACCACTAACTATTGAAAAAAATTGAGGTGAGACATCGGCTCAAACATTTCACTCAACAAAACAAAAGTTAGAGCGGAGGCAACCAATAGAGCTTTTAAAACAAAAAATACCAAATTTTAGTGCTTAACTATGTTTTATGCAAAGAAATTGAAGTTTTATATCAAATTTTTTTTTTGGTTTACTCAAAACTTTCGTAAGTTCCCTTTAAATTTAGTTTTAAAAACCCTGTCGCACAAGTTGATGTTCAAGTATTGTTAACCAATATTTATGAATAACGGTCTGTTTTAGTTCGATTTTAATTCAAAAAGTGTTGAGCAGAAACTTACTGAATCGAATTCGGCTTTAATTCAACTTTCTTACTTTTTTGTCTTGAAATTTTGATCTCAGATGTCAGTCGGTATCTAGTTGCTGACATCTGTGGTATACTTTGTGAGTATGCGCAAACAATATTTTTTCAGTTTGTAACGAGTATATAACAATATGGTGGTTTCCTATGTGGGAAACTTCAAACCGAGGAGAAAAAAACGGGAGAAGTACAAAATGCGAAGTACAAATTTTTTCGGTTAGGTTTTTTCCGCAAAACTAATTAGTCATTTCCCCCTCAGTAAAGATGCTTGATTCCCGAGTCGCGGGACCAATTTCATCTTCGATATTCAAGATGGGAAAAACTCAAAATAAACTATTTGAATTCAGGGTTTTTTTTTAGTTATCAATCTAATTTCAAACCCATTTTTTGTTACTCAACATTTTTAAAACAATTTTGCAGAAATTTCGCTTTTGATGAGAATTGTATGATAAACATTTTTGGTCAACCCGAGGGTCTCCCTAAAGATGCGAGACTAACTTCTAAATGAGCATCAACCTTCGTTACAACACAACAGTTGACGCTCATGTAATATTGGGGGAATCTGCACTCTAGCTAATCAGAATAGAGCAAAAGAATTTCGAAACACAGAACTCCGTAGAACGTTTTCCGTAGAATTTTATATGCTATTTTCCACTTTCACCTCACAATTCAGTTTCTCCGTTTTGATAGACATTTTTCGGGTTATGGTTGCTAAATGCGTGATGATACAATGAAAGAATTTTGAACAAAAAATGTTCAGATTTGTTAGATTATCATCATGCAGAATTTCCCTGCGTTGTGACATCGACATTGTCAAACGTTTTTGGCTCATTTCTCTCCCTCTCATTTCAAATTTTTCATGTCATTAGAGAACGAGTTTGCACAATAATTTCTACAAGCAAATTACCATATCAACAAAGTGTGAGTTTTACTAGGGGTGGGAAACTGAATGAGGGACCTTTTTTCAGGTGAAATTTGTTCCACGTCAACCAAATATAATCAACTTTAATCAATATTGACCCATTTTATTTGCCCATTTCGTCTTTGAGTTTGCATTGAAATTGCTGATAGTCAATGCATCTAAGAGACGTTGGCTTATGTGAAATTTTGGAGTATCACTTCAGCAGTTTTCAAATCAACTCAAATATAAATGTTTAATTTTTTTCTTCACATTCTTTTGATTATTTTCTTTACGATATTTTTTTATTCCATAAAAATGTGTGAGCACATCGTTTCATTTTGCTAGATAACATAGCCGATTAACCATTTTTTGTTGCAGAATTTTTCCGCTAAAACGAAAAGATATTTATTAAAATTGTTTCTTCGGTAAAATCTCGTGTTCAGATAAAACAAATAGTTACAAGACATTTAACTTTTAGGAATTTAATCTTTAAAGTTATTTTAAACTTCTTTTAAAGAATGTTTTTGGGTAACAATAATTTGGCAAAGTAGGAGACTATAATTGAATAAACTCGATTTCAAGAGTTATTACCTTTGGAAAAAATCACGTTTATAACCGATTGTAAATCTTCTAAATGCATAACATTGGTAATTATCAACGGTTTTTTTCACAAAATCTGTAGCTTGCTTTTTTTTAAAAAAAAAACAAAGATTAACTGCATAAAATGGCTTGCACCGTGAGGCGAAATTTCGTAACAGGCGACCATTCGTAACAGGGGACAATTCGTAACCAGCGACAATAGAATAAACGGGGATTACTGATTCACGTGCAATATTCCTCTCGGATATCCCGCCGGATGTCAGCGCAGCGGAGCAAGCATATTTTACTTGCCAATGCCTTGTTACGAATTGTCGCTCGTTACGAATTGTCGCATATAACGAATTGTCGCCTGTTCCCAATTTTCGCCCTACCGGCTCGCACACAAAACCTTCATTGTCTTTTACAAGCGCATTTGTTAAAACCCTTATTTGATTACCATTAAAAGGAACTCGAACAAAAAAATGAGAAAACTCAACTTTTTCCGCCAAAATAAGGCCCAGGTTGACACTTAATTGTTCTTGTTTATTATTTTCATTGGTTGAATTCAGTTTTTTGATTGACCCAAATGACTTGTTTTTGATCCAAATTTTACAAGACACAATGACATTCACAACAACTTCAAAATAGCGTACTATTGCATTTTATTTTAATTTTTATACACACTACACATCATTGCTAAGATCTTTTCAACCATTCTAAAGTTTTACATGGAGCTCGCTTTAAAATTGATGTATAAAAATTGAAATTAGTGAGGAAATAAAGCTTTTGTTGTTTTCAAATTAACCTCGTCTCAAATCAAACTACTAGCGGTAAATGATGCTGCAAGCTACCAGCAAAATTTGATTGTTGGAACAGATTTTAAACTTTTTGCAATCGACTGATTTTTTGCAACAAAATGGTTTCCTGCTGAAGAGTTTTCTGAAAAATTGTCTGCCTATGTTAAATAAATCGTGTATTGATCCCTTATGGCGCCTGCTTTTTTTTTCAAATTTTTTTAATTTTCTTGGGTACTTTTTTGGTTTTTAAAATTTGATGAAATGGGCTCACATAAATTGTTTAGTTTCCTGAAAACTAAGAAAAAATTGTTATTGAGTAGGCGAAAAAAACTTTGCCACTGGATTGTCGAAAAACACTTCTTGATGTTTTTTAACTACTAAATTTAGGTTGCTCGCTAAAATTTCAAAAACTCGCTACGTAAACTAACAAATAACTGAAAAACTCAAGTTAAAATATTAATTTTTGCTGAAAAAAAAACACTTATTATTTATTTCTAACAGTTTTTTTTCGAGGCCACAGATCAACCCAGGAAATCAATTGAAACGCATAGATTCTATTTTTTTTCCACCTTTTTCTTTTGCTTGATAGACGAGAAAATTTGTACAAAAACAATATACAAAAAAAGGTTAAAAGTTGTTTTGAAGATTTTTTTGTTATAGAAAATCCGTATTGAAAAGAGGAGGTCAAAAATGGGATAAAACCAGTTTAGAAAGGATTGAAATAGATTTTTTGAGCTATATTTTTTGGATCAGACTCAATCATCTTTGCTTTAGTTTTTTGCTATATTGTCTGCATAAAATTGATAGAAATCTTTTTCTTGTCAAATGAGAGCAGCAATATCACACTTATACTTCAAAAAAATATCTTGTTCAATTCAGATTTCTGGGCTGATTAGAACTATTTCTTCATCGGTTATATATAGTTTTATGTTGAACAATTGAGCTTTTAGTTTCCCAAATTTTTGATTTGTTGCAAGTTTTTAACCAGTATTTGGATTTTTTTATGTAAGAAATATGACACTTTGCTGAAAATTTTTGATTCATTCTAAATTAATTAATTCTTTCATCTTAGGGATGCTAGTCCTCACTTTTTCGATTGATGATTTTGGTTTTTCTCTTTCGCGAGTTTCGATAAATAATAAAATAAGGTTTTATAAGAAATTTGAAAAAAAACTGCTGGCTTTTTTGATCCTTTTATCTTTGCTCTGTGAATCTCAGACGTTTTTCTATAGGATTTTTGATAAATGTTTTATTGAAAAATGTCGACTTTTGTTTTGTTGTTTTTGAAAGTCGATAAACGTAGTTCAGACTCTTACACTTTTTACCATTGGCTTTTTGACGTTTGTTCAAAACTTTAGTTCATTTCCAAGTTTCAAGGAAGGCAGGCACACTATCTAATAGTGAAAGGGTGAAGGTCACGAAAAACGTGATCAACTTCTAATTTCAAAAATGGTTTTTAATCAGTTTTCCTGGCAAAAAAAATGTCATAAATTGTTCGAAAAGAGCTTCAGGGGCATATATTTTTTTTGTTGCAAGTCAAATATTGAGATTTCTTCACAAAAAATTGGTCTTTTTTTCTGTTAAGTTCGTTCATTGGCTTTTTTCCAACTGACTGTTGGCTCTGTTTGATTTGTTGATCATTTTTTTATCAATCAGCTACGTTGTAAAATCAAAGACTCATGGTTACTTCCACAATTTCATTTTTTGTTCTCTCCATGTCTCAGAAGTTGATGGTAAGGAATTTATTTGTATGCTGTGGAAAAATTGAATTTTTTTTCTTCACCCCTCAAATTTGATATTATGATAATTTAGTAAAACGCCATTCAAAATACTCTAAATGTTCAAACTCTGGTATCATTCCCATCTAATGTTTTTTTAATTATTGGAAGGTACATTTTTAAGTCTACCGTTAAATCGAAAGAAGCAACAAAATGGTTAAATTTCATTTTGAAAAAGGTTTTTTTTTTGCCAGAAAAGACTGAAGAAATCACTAAAAAGCCCCAAAACAGCGGTAATAGATTGATCTTTTAGCAAATGTCTGATTTAGGTCTAGATGAAGAAACATACGGAGAAAGTATTATCAATCAGCCAACAGGAAGTCAGAGAATAGCATACCAACAACAAAATCAGCTAAAACAACCCCAGATAAGAGTAAAAATCAACAGTAAACAACAACAATATACATAAGAAGACGCGTGAAGAGGGTGAAGAATGTGGGTTGTGTGGGCGGTGCTGCCCTTCTTATTCTGTCTCTCGATCTCCACTTGTCTCATCTGGTCACGCCGTCCCGCCCTGTCCTCTCAGAAGATACTCTCAGGTAAAGCTTTTTGATTTTTTAATCTTAGCTTACTCAGTGGCAAAACATGGCCTTTAAGTTCACCCTTTAAAAACTAGGAAAACGCCAAAACAACAGAAAAACAAATCGAAAAGGCGTTGTGTTTTAATTAATTAAAACACACCACGCCGCTTTTTCCATTTTTCCTCCTTTTTTAAAATCTTATATCTTAAATTTTCTAGGGTGAACTTGAAAACATATTTTACCACTGAGTACACTCTGAATTGAGGTAAAGTTACCTTAAGTCACTTAAGGTCAGCGATAGCAAGATAAATTTTACCTCATGTTAACCTTAAAATTACCTAAGGTGAAACTTAACCTTAAAAAAGAAATGTAATTTAATGTATGTTCAGGTAATGTTTGCAAAAAAATTTTTTCCACAGCCCAAAAATGTTCATTTTTTATGAGACTGAGCTTTGCAGGCTTTCCCTGTGGCGGGTCGTCCTGTATACGATTTGCATGTAAAATGCGAGTCAAGCTAACCCAATGTTCAAAATACTGGATTTTTTTTGCTAATTGCATCTGATTTCTGATTTTTCTTGCTATAGTGAAAAACCCGGCAAACAACTAATAAATAAGTTAAGATAAAAAATTACCGTAAAATTTAAAATTTGCGGGGAATTGCTTTAAATTTTATCTCAAGTGACCTCAAGTTTGCCTGAAAAATTTACCTTAACTATGAAGGTAAGACTACCTTAGGCCGTCTAAACTTAGCTCACCTCAACTTTACACTAAAACTTGAGGTGAAATTACCTTTAATCTTAACTGAATATACCCCAAGCTTACTTGAAATGTTTATTAAGTGAATCCTCTGTTAAGGTAAACTTTCAATGTAAGCTTGGGGTAACTTAACGTAAAATTCAAGGTATTTTCACCTCATCAAAGTATTTTTTTTCTACTCCCCTTCCTCATTCAGCAAATATTTTTTTAATATTACTTATGCATTACGGTTATATGCGTGAATTTTTGTTGTGAGGTATTAAGATGAAATACAATATTTCAAGTGCAATTTCAAATGCAATTTCTGTTATGACAACTAACAGTTGTTTTTTTTTCTAATTGAAATTGAAATGGGGAGTGGGTGAAATGATCCAATAGACAATGTTTCTGTTGTAGGATGTCTCTGTCTGTTTTTTGCGGAGACGCTCACCTGTCTGCTTCTTCCCTCGGAACTCCTCACTTCAGTGCAGATGTGTGCCACTGTACTCTGTGTACTGCTAGTAGCTCTCCTCGCCACCCAGATGAAACTGAAAGACATCTTCTTCACCATTATAGGTCAGAAAAGCTAAAAAAAAATGGATCTGCCCGGGTTCACAAAAATGCTTAGCATAAAAGAGTCTCAAACATTTTCACAGATCAAAAAAGATTGTATAAAAATTGCAAAAAAAATAGTTTTTTCATACTGAATTTTAATGAAAAGCACTTTTCGCCCCACGCTGGAATTAAATAACAAATTGTTGTCCTATTTTTTATCACAGAAGTTGTGTAAAAATATCAAAAGCAGTTTTTTATACTATGAAATTGAATGATAAGGATGTTTCCACACTCCATGAAATTGTGCAATAAGCAGTTTTTCATTAATGAAAATGCAAAAAAAAATGTTTCGAAGTTTTGTATTTGGTCCAAAAACCAAATAACTAAGACTGCCAGTTGCCACGCAGAAAAAATGCATTTGGTGACTCGGGCCACGTAAAATTTTGAGAACATTTTTACTCAGAGTTATATACTAAAAACGTAGTTTTTTTTGTATATGACTCGAAAGTTTTTATTTTGAAAGTTTTGGTAGTTGAGACAAGAGGCCTTTTTTGGCGATTTTAGGTTTTCTTAGCATAAAAAAACAATTAAATAAAAATTGTGCTTTTAAAAAAATACAAGCTTGAGCTTGTGATTTTTGATTTTTGGGCAAAAAACTCAACCTGGAC